AGCAGGGTCGGAGAGGAGAGACACTTCTGGGGTAAAACCCATGTTCTGGGGACTAACTTGGCGGGGGTGGGGAGCTGAGCGTGAGGGGAAAGCAAGACGAAGCATCTCTTCCTGACCCCGCCCTTCACTGGCTCTGTGTCCTGCCCCCTCTCTGGTTTCGGTTTTCCCATCTGTTCCATGTCCCCTGGGTCCTGCTTCTGTGGCAGCGTGATGCCCAGGTGCCCATTGCTCCTTATTGCTGCCACCATTTATTCAGCGCCCACGACGTGCCAGGCAGTGCTGAGCATGTTTGGTACCTTTAGCATGATCATCACAGCCCCCCTGTCGGAAGGCGTTACTGTGCTCATTGGAAATGTGTGCGAACAGGCTCAGGGCTGCGCTTGTGTCTTCGCAGACCAGCCCTGCAGGAGCCCGAGACCTTCGTAACCGCCAGGGGGGCCTCTTCTCCCCAGGAACTGGCTCACAGCAGGGGCACCCGGCTTTCCCTCGCTGCTGGACCTCCCTGTTTGGGGGTACCGCTGGCATCCTCCAGAGGGGGTCAAGTTGTCACTCTTGTTGAAAGCAGTGGTGGTGAGGAGGACTGGGTGGGGGACAGGAGAGGGGAAGGCTTAGACTCTGAGTCCTCGTTCAGGAAACCCCCTCATCTTCTAGCCCACCCCTCACGTCGGGAGTTGAGGGAAATAAGATCAAACCGGGGAAGAGAGAAATCTCGGGCAGCACGTCATGCCAGAGGCCAAGGGCAGGGTGCGAGTGCGCATCTCTCTGTCTTTCTACCTCGTCTGGCCAGAGGCCAAGGGCAGGGTGCGAATGTGCATCTCTCCGTCTTTCCACCCTCATCTGGGTCCGCAGTGCCCCAGGACCCGGACCAGCACCCAAGGAAACATCCCATTCCCTGGCCTGCCCTGCATTCTTCCCCCTCATATCCCATTGAGGCAACGATTAAGGAGGGGGGCCCTCTCCATTTGGGCAATGATGTTCTCATTAGGAGCCCATCCTCCCGGCTGTCAGCTTTGCTGCTCCTGGGCCCCTGCTCCCCTGCGCTCCCACGAATGTGGGGGAGCGCTCACCGCGGGGGCCCAGGCGAAGGAGCCAGCAGCTCCGCTCCGGGGACAGCACAGACGTCAGTGACCTGGCCCCTCAAGGATCCAGCACCGGCCCAGCAGTACCAGTACCATGCGCCTCCTGGGAAACCTAGGCCTAGAACTCAGGTCTGGGCTGCTTGGGTCCTAGACACCTCCCTGATTCCCCCCCACTCCCTCCCACCCCCTGGATAAGACCCTCAACACAGCCTGAGCCCCCAGAGAACCAGGGAGAGGAGGCAGAGTGATAAGAGAGACCGAACTTCAAAGAGGGAAGCCAGGACGGGGTAGCCACTGTTCCTGTCTGGGAGGAAGAAGGCTTCCCTGAGCAGGTGACATTTACTATGGAGGCAGCAGAAAAGGAAGTAACCAAGGTGACCTGGCCAGGGGAGGAGGCTTTCAGACTGAGGGTGAAGCTGAATAAGCTGGTGGCCCTAGAACCCCTAAAGGGTCTACTCTGGTTGGGTTTATTTGACATGAAAGCAGGAGGCAGGGCCCAGATCTAGAAGGGCCTAGAGGGTTCTAAATAGTAAAGGAAGCCACTGAGGTGAAGATTCTGGAGTGTCCCCCCCCCCCCCCGCCTCTGGTTGGGGGCAGGCAGGTGGTCTCTCCTGAGGCTGATGGCCCTTTCTCTCTCTCCTCGATCCCCAACACACCATTTGGAGTCTCTGGTTCCCTTCCAGCAGGAGCACAATGTTCAGAGGAAGGTTGATCACCTGCCTCTGGCAAAGGTAAGAATCACCCCACCTTGGCCCCACCTGAGGGAGGCGGCCCAACTGCCCAGGGTTGAGCCCTAGAGAGGTCCCTAAACTTCAGGTCCCTGGGGAGACCCCCACCCAAGCTAATGGGAGGCTCAGACCTGAGGGTGAAGGCAGATTGGGGGTGGAGAACCCCACATTTCCTCAGAGCCCTCTGGGGCAGGTGTGCCAGCTTAGCACTCTGAGCACTTGCTGGTGGCCTGCCGCTTGGCACCCACTGCAGAGCGAGAGCCCCGCCCCAGGTGGCACCCTTCCGGTGGGCAGGTGGGACGGGGTGGTGGACATGGGGAAAGCGGGGCCTGTGTGAATGGCTAGGACTGCTCCCCGAGGGGGCAGCCTGATAGCCGAACCTCTTAAATGCACAGAAAGATTAGGATTTTGCAAAGCAGAGGAGACAAAGGATGCTTCAACTTAAGCACAGAAACAGCAGGGGCAGAGGCGGGGAGACAGTGATGGGAGACGGGTTCCTTAGTGGCAGGGGGAGGGGATCAGCAGGTAGAAGAGGCGGGCACCAGATTGAGAAGGGTCTCCAATGCCAAGGTCAGAGGTTTGGGGAGCCAGGGACCCTTCCCCAGGAAGGGGCAGCAGAGCCAGAGCAGAATCAAGGGATAACTCTCCCCTCTCTGTCCCACTTGAAGCATGTACTCCCCTCTGCGGACACCTCCAGCCCTCGAGCAGGGGCTCAAAGTGAGCTGGAGGCTGGGTGAACAGGCTGGCCCTTGGCCACCAGCCCAGCCTCGGGCCGAGTGTTCAGGACCTGGCCCTCAGGAGCCAGACCGGCGTGGCCTGCAGCCAGGACTCACTGACCCCAGGCAAAGAACGGCAGCCCTGGTCAATAAACAGAGGAAGCTGGGACCCTGGAGCAGGAGGGACTCTTGGAGATGTTTGGATCCCTGTCTTCATACACTTGGGAAAACTGAGGCCCGGAGAGGGGACTTGTCAAAGTCACCCAGGGGGAGCGCAGCCTGGTGGTCCCGCAGCCTGGACAGCCACCCAGGTGGTCCCCTCCTCAGACAGAGCGGGGACCACCCACCTGCAACCCAGTGAGCTCCAAGCGCATTGGGGGCACAGCTCCCTTGGCTGGTGGCTAGGACCCCTCTGCGAGACGGGCACAGGCAGAGCGGTGGGGGCTGGGTTGAGCTAGTTCCGCTACTGAGCTTCCCGCTCTCCCAACCTCTCCCAACGGAAGGAAGCCGAGAAAACACTTAAGTAAAAAGAATCAATTTTAAAAAATAAAGTCCTCTAGGGCCCCTATTCTACCTCACCTGCACTTCCCTGGGGCCTGACCTGCGGGGAGGGGAACGGCGAGGCGGGAAAGAAAGCGCTCCCGCCCGCTGCCCACTTCTAAGTCCCCGCCGATCCCCCTCGGCGGCCCTGGGGCGGTGGAGCGCCCACCAGGCTGTGCCCAGACTGCGCACGGAGATCAACCAGCTCCAGTTCCAACGAAGGTCGCTTGCTTGCTCGGTGACTCTCTCAATCAGACTAGCCGCAGAAATAAACGGAGATACGTTGCTTTTTATGCTATTATTAATTCCCCCTTCTCCCCACCCTCCAGGAACTAATTAAATTCACCCCTGAATCTTGGGCCAGCAAAAAAGCCTCTAACAGGACCAGAGCCAGAGGGGCCCATCCAGGCCAAGGCTCCTGGCCAGATGCCCTTGGCCGTCCACCCGCCTTCCCCGCGCGCAACCTCCCCGTTGCCCCAGCGACTGGGTCAGACTTCCAGACTTAAAACGAAGTCATTTATTTCCATTTTGCTTTCACATTATGTTCCGATACAATCACAACTCCTAGAGGAACCTCCTGATCCAAAGTCCCGAGGTGAGCCCCGGCCCTGGGTGCCCAGGTGGTGCGGAGGGCGGACCCCGGACTCAGAGCGGGGGGTACAAAAATGCTGCTGGGGACCGAGGGAGTGCGCGGCGGGAGACACCCAGGGGCGGGGGCTTGGGAAGTGCTCCGCTCAGAGCAGGCTGGTTCCAGCTCCCCTGGTTGGGATTATTCCTGAGGCACCTGGACTTGGAAAAACCCGAACTTTGCTTCCTGGCCCGCAGCCCCACCTGGCCTAATAAGACGTTGGCCAAATTTCTTATGTTTGTGCCAAAGTAGAGAACACAGGCAAGAGCAGGGCTGGCCCCAGGCCTGGCACGCGCAGGAGCGCTGGCGGCTTCGCACAGTAGCCCTGGAGGCCAGCCTGGCTCGGGTCCGTCTCATGCTAAGCGGTCTCCCACACTCGGAACCAGCCCTTCTGCGCTCCAGCCCTCAAACCTTGCAGCTGGGGAAGGTGTGGGGAGTTTAGAAAGCGGTTTCAGAAAAATAAAAGTCCCACTTCAACTTTATTGGATTAAAGCGAATTTAAATCTGGGCTATTCACACGTATGTTACAGAGAACGAGGAAGCATCCGGAAGAACCTCCTGGCGGTTGTTAGTGGAGCCACAGAACACGAGGGCATCGACAAGCATCAGAACATCAAGCAGCCTTGGATTTCACGATCACTCCGAAAAGGACATAGAAATACGGAAATACAGCCCGTTTCCACTGGGAAGAGTTCTTCATGTACAAATGATATATATTTATATATATATTTTAAACCAGTCACCGCTAAGGTGAGTCCTTTCCCTGCTAACAAGCAGCCAAGGACGAAGTATATTCAGCTAATTAACTCTTGAGCGGTGTTTAAGTAGAGCAATACTCGCCAAATTAAAACTACCTCCCCCATCAAAAAATAAAAATAAAAACCTGATCCCCGTCAACTAAATGGGGGAGGGGCGTATTAGATTTCAGCAGGGGACCCGGGAGGAAGATATTTCACGTTATACAGTGAAATACAAAGTTTCTTTTCTATAAATCGTGGGGAACGTGGACATGAACATGGGGTAAGAAACAAGGACAAGGCGGCCTCTCTTCCTTCATCACTGCAGCTGGAATGGGGGAGGAGAGCCTATTTTTGGAAATGAGAGTGCGCAGAGCTAAGTGGAACTTGTTTCTCCAAATGAGTAAACTGACAAATTGTCCTCCCGCCTGCCCACACCTTTCACCTGGACACAGCTGGGGAGTGTGTGGGAAGTTTCGAGTCCTGCTGCTGTCTCTTCTACATTCAGCCTCTTTCTCGTCCCCTCCTGCCTTGGCCCTTTCCCTCTGGCCTCCGTTGCGGAGATGAGCCAGTCAGAGGGGAAACACGAGGAATCCGGAGAAGGTCGAGTACTTCCAGCCCCCCATCAAGTTCCCCCGCTCCAGCTTGAGGTATGCGCGGTCGCCTTTCTCCATCTGGATCAGGACTCCATTGCTGGCGGCCTCCCGGGTCACGTCCTGGTCACCAGCGAAAGCTGAAATCACCGGCCACCCATTTAACATAAGGCTCACCTGAGAAAGAGAAAGGCCCGCTTCAGAGTTGCCACCTAGGCGGCAGGGAAGCGGCAGTGGGGACTGAACGTGCACCGCTGAGCTCACAGTCATAAAGGCCTGGAAGCAAGGTGTGAGGGGGCTGGGGGGAGAAAGGGGGCTTTGCAGGTTGCTGCTGAAGGTCCAATGGGGGCAAAAGGCGCCCATCTAGGTGAAAGGATGGATCTGCCCCCTAACTGGAGTCACCTTCATTCCTCGGGCGCACCCGGCGAATCCCGAGGGCACTCTTTCATCCAGTTTAAGGGTTCCATAGGTGGCTCAAGCGCCCTGACACCTTAGTCCCCTCCCCCTCCCACCCCCACCCCCAATGCTCAAATTGAAACTCAAGACAACTCCGCTCTTGGCGCTTCTGCGAAAACAAACAAAAATTCTGGCTCCTCCGGTCCTAGCTGCCTGGCTGGACACAGAGGAGAAGCCCAGCAAGGCTTTTCTGGCTTAAGAGAAACCGCACGGAGATGCTGTCCGTGCTTTATCCAAAGTCCAAGCTCAATCCCCGTTCAGCTCCAGCCGCCCCCGCCACCCAGCCCCTGGTGTTGCCCTTGCGGTGGTATCAGCAGCCAAAGGCCCCACGCGACCCCAGCGCACGTTCCTCCTTCTGTCTCCGCCCAAAGGAAACCTAGAAACCTTTGAGAACCTGGGGAGCCAGTGAGAGCGGATTGGGACAAGACTGGAGCCAGGAGGAAGTGGCACTACGCCCCCTCCCTCCTTCCTCCACCCTTCATCCGCTTGAGCTCCGCACTGCTAGTTCAAACGGCCAGAGCGGTTCCGCAAAGGAACGCCGGGAGGCCCCGGAGCGTGGTGCTGAAAGCTAGCGCACAGGCGTCTCGCAGGCTTCGGAGCTGTCCGTGGTGCTGACGGGGCGGGACCGGGGAGGGTCGGGGGAATCTTACTGAAGCGGGAACTGTGATGCTAACAACCATCTCTGCGGGAAATCCCTGGAGTGTCATAGGAAAGCGCAAGAACCTCTTTGCAGGGGCTCAGAAGGCAGAGGAGGGAAACTGCTTTTGGGGAGAGGGCTAGGTTCCAAGAACCAAAGACAGGGGAAGCAAGGGGCAGCCTAAACTACAGAAGCATGAGGCCCTGCTACTCGGCTTTCCAAACAGCCCAGGGCACATGCAGCTGCCCCTTTTATCTCCCACTCCCATACGAGTGCCCACTCCTATGGCTAGTAGCCCCCTACCGGGGCGGGCCTGGCCCTGAAGCGGCGGCTGACCTGAATGGTCTGTCTGTTGTAGACTTTTACCACGTGGAAGTTAAAACTGTAGATCCCTTTGCGCGGGGCGATGAAAGTGCTGCGTTCTGAATCAAAGTTGTTCCCGATGTTCACTAGTACCTGTAACGAGGCAGGGACGAAGAGGAGTCAATCCGAACTCTTGCCACGAGCCTCCGCAGAGACCTTGGAGAATATTGGGCATCTACCTTCCACCTTTCCCCACCCCCTATCAGTCCGATCTACATGTAACACTCACCTGGTCGAAGTAGATTATCATGGTGCGATTACTCATCTCGGACGGCTCGTGGTTAGTGCTTCTGATGGCAGAGAAAGCCACCTTTGCGCTACCAGAGCGCACAGAGATGCCCAGAGCTGTGCCCGTGGGATCGGACGTGGGGTTGGAGTCGCACACCACCAGGCACTTGCCCTCCAGCACGATGGGCTCCGTCTCATTCTGCCCGCGGGCCGGGCCCGCCAGCCACACCGCCCCAAGCAGAAGCAGCTCCACGACGCCCAGCATCGCGGCAGCGGCGCCCACCCCGCCCCCCACCCCAGGGGCCGCCTGCGCCAGCCGCCCCCCCGCCCCAGGCCCGCTCCGGAGCCCCCTCCTCAGCTCCGTGCGCAGCTCCGCCGATGCCGCCCTGGACACTCCTGCTTTCCTTCCACTCCAGAACAGGGTGCCCCCCGCGCAATGCTCCCGGAGCCCCGCCCGGGCCTCAGGGGAGCCGCGGCTGCCCAGCCGCACTTGGATGCATAGCCGCTGCCTCTCGGTCCCCGCTGTTTCCGCCGCCTCTTGCCCGCACCCGCCGCTGGCGCCGCCGCCGCCGCTCTGAATTTTTGATGCAGCCGGTGCTGCAGCCGGAGCGGGCGGAGAGCGCGCGCCTGGCACAAAGGCGCGGACCGCTGCCTGGCCCCGCCCCCGCCGCTTCCCTGCCCGCCTCCCTGTACAGCCCCGCCCCCGCCCTGGCCGAGACTCCGCCTCCCAGCCAATCCTGGAGCGCCGCGCTCCCCGCCGGGCCAATGGCGGCGCTGTCCGCGCGCGGCCACCTGACCCCGGGCGCCGTTGTTATTAGGCGCGGCGAGGCGGGCGGCGCGCGGCAGCAGGGTTGGGCTCTGGCCCGGAGTCGACGGAGGGAGCAAGGGCCGGGGACGCGCGCGCGCGCCCGAACCGTCCGCCGCGGCAGCTCGTTCTCTCGCCTGCGGTCTCCTACCACGTTCTCGTACAGCCAACTCAGCCCTTCCGCCCGCCTCCCTCTCCGGTCCGCAGGTAGGAAGTGCGCGCGCCCTGGGGCGGTCGTGGAATCGCAAGGGCCGTGCGGCGCCCGCGTGAAGGCACGCGGGGTGGGAAGGGAGCGCCCCCCAGCGGGCGCAGGCTCGAGGGGCAGCCGGCGCGCGGGTGAACCTGGGCGTGCAGGCTGACCCGGCGGCCGGCTGCAGGGCGCGTGCGTGCGCGCGCGGCGGGGCGGGGCGGGGCGTGCGCGGTGGCCTCAGGGGGAGGTGCACGTGCTGCCGCCCGGAGCTGGCCTGACCCGGACTCGAGGCCTGCGGTTCCGCGCTCCCCTTACCCGGCCCACGGCCACGAGGATAGAACTGGACCCGCAACCCTGCGAGCCACGGAGTCAGGTCGAGTGTGCATTCATTCATTCGCTGGTTCTGTGCTCAGGCCACATCATTGGGCGCAGACGAAGTGCCAGGCACTGGGGCAAAAGCCGAGAATGCCCTCGTGTCTCCCACCACCCAGCACGCAGCAACAGTGCAGTGGCGTCGCACGCAAGCTCTTTTGTCACATAACATTTTCTCTGGTCCTAAAAATGTACACTTTGCATCCTTACTTTTTATTTCGTGTGCACCGTTATAGCCTGTCTCATCCACGGGTACCTGCCCGTCATTGACTTGAGCGTAGACACGAAGTCTTGTGATGTATGGGCGATTTTTCGAGGGTGATGTTGACCCTAAATGAATTTTCCCGTCAGGCATTGACTAGGAACCTGACACGCGTGTAGTCACGAACATGAGCGTAAAAAGACGGCTTTGCTGGGGGGAAGGAGCGAGCAGCTGCGGAGATGGGAAGAGGAAGCTGGGGTGCGGAGACCTTGAATGATGCACGCATGCAGTGAGCCGGGCGGAGGCAGGAGAGTGAGTGGACCGACAGCTCAGTCAAGTCCGAGGCAGAAGCGCTGGCTCAGGACCCCAAGCAGAGGCGGGTTGGGATACCGCCCCCACCCCCCCCACCCCCACCCGGGCACGTGGCGCTCTGCTCACGGCCCGGCGGCCTTGAACGTGCTCAGCTGAGCCAGAGCAGATGTGCAGCTGGCGGCGGCGGTCAGACTCCAGCCAGGGATCTGGAGAGTGGTGGGGCAGGGGATGATTGCACCTCCTTTCAGCCTCCCGGTGTCTGTGTCCCGTAGGGTACGCTCCCCCCAAGCCAGGAATCGCCAACAGCCACGCCTTTCCGCTCACAATCCCTTTTGTTACTTTGAGACAGACATTGATAGGTCTTTAACGAGTTCCAGGGAGTGGGGGTGGGGGTGGGGGTGGGGGAAGCCCTGTCTCTGACCCCACCTCCATTAGGAGGCCTGCAGCGCTCACTGGGCTCAGCCAGTGAAAAGGGAAAGGGCAGGAAACAGGCAAGAATTTTACATTAAGTTAACACAGAAACAGTTTTTATCTCTCTGAAACATCCCCAGAAAGCGTTGCCAGCTGCGATTACACCTGTGAGAGCACGAACTAATTTAAGAGGTGAAAGCTGGGTCGTGAGTCTGCACCCCGTGTAGCGGCCAAGACAGGCAGCCCTAACCTGGGAGGGTACCTGGAGAAACACAGGTAGCCAGCGGATGCTCTCCCACAGTGCCCTGGCGCTGCAGTCTGTCATTTCAAGTAGTTACTGAGTGCCACCCCTGTCCGGGGGAAGGCCTGTTTCCATGGAGCTCACCTGCACGCCTGAGATGCCCTAGACTAGAGAGAGTCGGTGGCCAGTCCCCTCCTCTACTCTTCATGGTAAAGCTCTGGAGGGCAGTGCCCAGGCCTGAACTGCCATCCGTATGCCAGTGTTCTTCATCTTGTATTTCCAGTCTCAGCCTCTCTGCAGCCCAGACCTGCCATTCCAAGGGCCTGCTGGACCTGTGCACTTATCCATCCTGCAGGCAGGTGTAACTGGCCCTTTCTTGGACTTCGTCCTTGCTTCCCAAACTCTTCGCGTCCCTTCTTTCCCTTTCTCAGTGACAACAGCTGCACCCCCCTACAGATCCCCACAGCTAACTCGACTGCATCTTTGTGTCCTGTTGTTTGAGCCATTCTTGTTTGTTAGTCCTCACCCAAGGATATTTTTCCATTAATGTTTAGATAGAGGGGAAGGGAGGAGGGGGCAGGGAGAGGGAGACACATTGATTGGTTGCCTCCCATATGACCCCAACTGGGGCTGGGGATCGCATCACAACCAAGGTACATGCCCTTGACTGGGAATCGAACCCATGACCTTTTGGTCCATGGGCCAACAGTCTTAATTGCTGAGCTAAGCCAGCCAGGGCATTTCGAGCCATGGTTATAGCACCACCTGTTTGAGGTTCATCATCCTTGACTGGACCCTTTCAAGAGCCTCCTAATTTATCATCCAGGGCTTGTTGCAAGGATCACCTCCAGGCTCTGGTGGATACACATATTCTTTCGTTGATGGATGTCTGGTAAGTGCCCTGAGATATATAACCTCCACTTTCCTCCCACAGGAGTGACACTTCCCCGGCCACCGTATTCCAGATCGATCACCCCCTTGGCATGCTTCGTCTCTCTTCCACATTGTTTGTGTTTAAGATATATAAATACTAGTTTCATGTTGACAGATATGTGCTTTCCTGAATTGTGAGATTTCAATGAGATAATGTATGCAAGGAGGAAAATCCGTTAGAAACCCTAACAGCAGTCATGGTTATTTTTAGTGTTGTCATGTTGTTAGGCTCAGTGACAAAACCAAATTCCAACTGGCTTGTTAAGGACTTCGTTTGGTTGGTGCAAACAGCCTATGGGTAGGTCTTGCCAGTTAAGGAATGGCTGGATCCATCAGCCAGGGTTATCAGGATCTGTTTGCTGGGTCGGGCTTTATTTTCAAGCAAGGTATTTCCATATGATGGCTCCTAGAAGCTGCTACCAACTTACTCCTAGCAAGAAAACAAGACCTTTTTTTTTTCTTTTCTTTTTTTCTTTTTAAGTATTAGCAGCAAAAGTCTCAGGGTGGTTCTTACAGAGGGGGTCTGAGGTGCTTGCCCCTCTCTAAACAAGTTCTGCTGACTGAGCTCGGATCCATGTGTCTCCCTCTGGAAAGGGGTCTGATTGACGTTAGTTCCACATGTCCAGACTAGGGAGGTCTCCAGAAGAACACCAGAGAAGGGATCCACTCAAGGGATCCGCTGCAGTAGATTTCACCCCGGAAGGCTGGCGATGCAACCGGCGCAGTACCCAGAGCGACAGTTGTGTGTTTGTCTGGGTCCTGTTGGAGCTTCAGTCCTCAGCTACATGAGGTCAGCCACTGTCAACACTGATGTCACTTAAGGTGTTTTGTTTGTTTGTTTTTAAAAATTTTTTTCTTTATTGATTTTAGAGAGAGAGGGAGGAAGAGGGAGACAGTGATGGAAACACTGATGAGAGAGAACATCAGTTGGCTGCCTCCTCCAAGCCCCACACTGGGGATCTGGCCCACATCCTGGGCATATACCCCACCTGGGAATTGAACCAGCAACCTCTTGGTGCATGGGTCGATGCTCAACCATTGAGCCACACCGGCTGGGCTGATGTCACTTAAGGTTTAGTTTGGAAGATGAATGCACTTCCAATGGTAGAACCAGATAAAAATAATTAAGGAATTGTAACATTCTATTCAAAAGGATTTCTTTTCTTTGTTAAAAAAAAATGAAAGAGAAAAATATTTTTGACAACATTTTGTTGCAATTGATTTTTTTTTTCATTTTTTGGGGGCTCCTAGAGGGGTGAAAATTTTATTTCTTTGTGGCCAGGTACCTAAAACTTCTCATTATTTGTTGATTACTGAAAACTTGAGAAATTTGAAAAACCAAAGGATTGAGTTAGGCCATTTCTAAAATTTAAGACTATAGGGTTAACTTGCTAAGGGTTTTTAGGTATTAGTAAAGTATTATAAAACCACCTGTCTGAAGCTTTCAATGGGGTATAGAAATGTAGAGACCTGCCAGATTGAAATGATGCATCTATACTGTGCCTGTTACATCCTTTACCTGCTGTTTCAAATGCTGCTTTGTGTTTGATGAAGTCAAGGGTTCCCCCTCCTTGCCTTCTGAATTCCCACCACAGTGAACTTGGAGAAGTGGAGGTGACTCATATTCATGGAAACCCTACCCACCCAGGCCCTGTCCCCTGGAAAGAAACAACCACCCTCCATTGTAGGAAGGAGAGAACATTTTCAGGAAAAGGGGAATATTTTGTCCCAGGATATGAAGCAAACTCATTCTTTTATTAAATCAAAATGGATTCTCTAATGTTTGTGGGCATCAAACAGTATTTCATCTCTTTTTACTCTTGGTTCAAAGTCCCAGACTGTACCATTTCCTAGTTTTTAGTTGATTTGCCCATAAAGAGAAGAGAGGGGCTGCTCTGTTCTGAAGAGTGTTAAATTTAGGATTTTAAGGGTCAAGTTTATTTTAAATTAATGCTTGGATCTAGTCTATAATGTATGAGAATGATTCTAAGTTGTGCAAAGTATGAAACAATTTAACTTTCACCAAAACCTCGGTTTCTGAGTGTTTTTTTCCCTACTCAGATTCATTTTAATGCAACATTTTTGCTGTTTAAGTTTAAAAAGTAAATTATA